TTTAATTTATGTAAGTTTTTTTTTTAATTTGCATTTTTAATTATTAACAGTTAGTTTAAGTTAGTGTAACTACCATTAATAAATTTTTTGGTATTGCAAGAAATACTAGTTTAGCATTTTTTGAAATAAATGCTGTGTTTATATCAATTATTCCTGAAAATGGCTAAAAAAATATATTAATCTTTGCTGCAATTTATTATCTTTTGACATGTAAAATGATTTTATAATTAAGAAATGTATATTTTAACTATCAGAAATAACCCAAAAATAAAATTTGTTATAAACGTTTCAGATGGGATGGGGAGATTTGGGAATTTTTGGGGAACCAAGTAAGGAGACTCCCAACTTAGATCAAATGGCCAGTGAAGGCACATTACTGACAGACTTCTACTCAGCAAATCCATTGTGTTCACCTTGTAAGTATGTGAGCTTTACTTAAATAATGAGAAAAAAATATACATGCATAATGAGATTATGTTTTCTGTAACAGCCAGAGCTGCTTTGTTGACAGGAAGGCTTCCAATCAGGAATGGTTTTTACACAGATAATGCACATGCTCGGAATGGTGAGTGAAATTTTATATTGCTGAAGCTGTAGATTGAACTAAATATTAAAGTAAAATACTGTATTTGACAAGAATCCTTGCTGTAGGTTAAATGAAATGTTATTTCTTCATTTATAATTCAGTTATTATTTTTCTTTTCTTTTTGGCAGTAGATTTAATTTATTTTGGTTAAGTTTTTGCGTAGGCTAATTTGTAATATACTTCTTATAATTCTGAAAGGAAAACTTACATTATTTGTATTATACTATTCTAAATATAAGTGTTTTTTTTTTTTTTTTTTTTTTTTTTTTTACTAGCTTGTAAAACTTTAAGAATTTTTCTTGATCAAAAATGATTTTTATGCTAAAATTTAAAATGATTTTTATGCTAAACAAAAATTATGATACATTTTTAGTTCATATTATGGTGATTCTTTGAAAATAGCTGGCCTAATTAATAAAGTATGTTATTAAATAAAATTCTATTAACATAAGAATTTTTGATAAATCATTCTTTTGTAGTTCAGATACATCTTGTATTGCTGTCATCATCTATATACATTCTTTTTAAATTTTATATATTTTTAGGTACTTCTATTTTGCGGCCAAATTTCAATATCTAAAATTCTTTGAATCTGAATTTTAACTTAGGTTAACTGTATGAAAAACTAAAATATATCATATTACAAAGCAAATTTATGTAATTTTATTTGAAAATTTCCTTTTCCATTGAAAACAAACTCGGAAATTTACAGAAGTAAATTACTCTGAAAACATTTTATATTATTGAATTATAAAAATGCCTTTGTATCTCGTACATCAAAATTGTCTGGTAAAACTAAACTTTTCTTGTAAATTCAAAGTCATTTTCTCTTTTAATAAAATCTTATACATCAAGTGGCACTATCAAGCTGTTCATTTAAGTCCATATTTATCATATATTTATTTAATTTTCTTTAGATTGTATATTCTGTTTTAATAGGATAAAATATTTAAATTGGATTAAGTATATAATAAAATATATCTTTTTATTTTTATCGGTTTGTATGAAACTAATGCGAATTTAAATGAGAATCATTAATATGTAGAAATAATGAATAATTAAGTTAAAAAATATAAAAGCATAAAGTTTTCATAACAATATTATAGATTAATGATTAATTGTAATAGACTAATCATTAATCTATAATATTGTTAGATATTGTTTCATAATCTATAATATTGTTTCATATTGATAGACTGTTCATTCTTATATCTGTAAGTCTGAAAGATACTTACGTATTAACGCAAAGATCTTGGCACAGTTTGGCGATTTTTTATAGAGAAAAGCTTAAAAGTTTCTTATTGTGTGCAAGCTGGTGGTTTTCTTGTCTCCCTTTTTTTTATTTGCAAACCATGGATAATTATTGTAAATAGGTAACCGTTATCAACGTATGAAAAGAAAACATACTTTAGCAATTTAAAATACAAATTTGAATTATTAAATAAGGATTATATAATACATTAAAAAATAAAATACTGACATTCTTCTTTATATTTCTTTCTTATTTGTTTGCACTCTTCTTCTCCAGAAGTACACAGCAATCTGTTTTCGCTTTAAAAAAAAAATCGGAGCCTAGACCTGCAGAGACTCAGCTTCGTGCAATCCTCTGTAGCAGTGTCACCTAGGAAATGCATTTCCTGATTGTTCTGTTTATAAAATTTTCAATAAAATTCTGTGTTCCTGCAGAAATTTTACTGCAGTTTTGGCAATTTCCACAAGCTCATATTTTAAAACTAAGTCAAAAAAATATCATGATTTATTTATAAAAATCTGTTGAAATTTGGAATATAACAAAAAAAGAACGCATACAAAAATGATGGCTTGACTGAAGGATTGTTATAAGCATCTTTGCCAGAGTTTGGCACATTCTGAAAAATTGCCGATATCTTCCAAGATAGTTGTGTTAATATGTAAGTACTGTTTGAAATGTGTTTATATTTATATACTTTAATAATGTGACTAGTTGTGTAATTAGATTGCTTGTTAAAAAAGGCATATCTTGTTTGTTGCCAAAATAGAATACTTAAGTAATTTTTATGAACTAGCACACTGCATTTAACATTTCTCTTAAAAAAAAATTAGTGAAAATAATTTTTTTTTTTTTTTAAATAATAGGTATTGAATGAAACCAAAGTAATCCTCTTTTGAGCTTACAATATTTTTACATTGTTTTTAGCATACACTCCTCAAGAAATAGTAGGTGGAATAACTTCAGAAATTTTGCTGCCCGAACTTTTAGAAAAAGCTGGCTATTATAATAAAATAGTAGGTAAATGGTAAGTAAATTATTGAAGTTATATTTCCTTCTGTAATTTATTGCTTAATGAAAGTATTGGAGATATTAATTAAATAAGAATTAATATGGGTTTTAAATATATCATTATTACTGTAATAGGTCATACAACTGAAATTTCTATTTTTAAGATACTGTTTCTTCTCAGAAAATGATGATATCTAGCCCCCGTTAAATGTTATTTGGGTCAAGGAAATTATAAATGAATGAAACTGCTTTTTCTTTTCTTTTGAAGAAACAAAAAGAAACATGCAACTGATTGCAATAATAACAATAATATAAATTGTTTTTTGAGTGCAGAGAAGGAAAAGCTTATTATGTAAATGTGAAATATGTTACTCTATATTAGCCATTTATTTGATGTATAATGATAATAATTTCTCATTTGTTATAGTTTTCTTATTTGATAACCATTATTTATTTCCTCCGTGTCATTTTGACATCGTAATAGATATACAACTTTTATAAACATTTTGAATACTGCATGCAATGCTATTTAATTGTATTGAGCTTTTGCATAATATTGGTAAAGTACATAAGTACTTTATCACCAATATTATAAATACTGCTTTGCATTGATAATTATGCATACAGCTTTGCACTGTGCAACAAAAAATGTTCTTTTTCATGTCAGCATAATTATATGTAATTAATCATTTGAGCTGTTATGTATGTAATAGTGTCTACAGGTTTTTTAATATGCGTTAAATGTGAAATAAATAATCGTGTAATAAATTTAACCTTTGTAAAGTAAGATCTTACTAAAGATAACATCTTTGAACAGAATGCCCTATGACAGTTACATTCTCAATGTAAATCTGAAAAAAATATTAATAGATGAAAAGTGGCAGTGCAAATCATTCTCCATGGTTGAAATGTAGCAATCTTAACTGATATAGTTAAGTAAAAATAAATTATGGTATTCTAGTCACAGATTGGTTTTTTTTGGGGGGGGGAGTTAGAATCCTAATCAAATTATACGCAAGCATTAGCTATTTTTTCTTAATAAAATTTTATGTGTGTTATGATTAAAGTAAGAAAAACCTAGATGGATTGTGTTATAAATTATTGTGATTGGCAAGTGGGATAAAATAATATTTTATGTCTGTTATAATTGGAGTAAGTAAGAAAACCCTAGATGAATAATTAACATAAGTTAAAAAAATTTAATTGACCTCTTATGGCAAAATACCTGAAAATTACTTGCTGTAGCAACAGTGCATTTTATTAAAGAATAAACTATATCATATTAACACTGTACTGAGAAAATTTCTGTACAGCTAATCTCTTTAATTTTAGTTTGCTGACAAATTACAAATATTTAGCCATTTGCTGTAGGAATATTAGTTTCAAATCTTAAAGTTAAAAGGATAAAGAATATTTTTGAAAGCCTACTGTATTTTAGAGACCTGTTTTTAGATCTATATTTAGATTATTATTTAGAGAACTGTTTATTTATTAACCCTTTGAGCACTATGGCCAGTCATGAGATTTTTTTTTGTCACTTTGCATATATTAGCTTATAATTAAAGATATTGTGCTTTTTTACTTTCTTTAATAATATAAATGTCATATTAATGAATATAAGTTTATGAAAATAGACTAAAATTAGTAAATATACAAATTTAGCTAATAAAAGCTGTTTAAATACAGATCTTCACGACAGATCCAAAAATCTGCACCACTCAGAGGTTTAAACTGTATTTTTAGAGATAAAGAAGACAATTGTATTTTCAGAGAGTTTATTATAGGAAAATATTTAGAATTTTTCATGTTCAGTGAATCTGAGATCTTCCACTTCATATGAATTTTCTTTGCATAGCAGGTTTTCCTTATATATGATTAATTATAAATTAAATCCCATGTATAGTTTTATGAAAATTATACCTATTATTTTTATCCAATATTTGATAGCTGAATATATTATATGATAAATATCTGAACTCCAATTCACTTAACATCTGTCATATTAAAAGTTTAGAAGTGAATTTTCTGTTTCATAAGTAATTAACAGAATCACCTTGCTCTGAATAATTTTATCAGTAACTTATTTTGTTAAGTTTCTTATGATGGATATCCATTACAAACTATTTTTAAAGGTTATGCAATAGTACTGCTGGAAAGGATAACATAAGCTGAAAAATAACTTTCTATTTTTGCATAATAATTCTATAAAATTTTAAATTATTGTTTATATAGCAATTAATGTGATTGAGTAGCTTTAAGTAAGTTACTGCATCTTCTAATGCATCATAATTTATGTGCAGTGTGTATTATCAATAGTTTTGCCGCTGATTTTCATTATTTAAAATTCAAAGAGAGGCGTTTGCTAACATGATTAGCCACTAATACCTAATATAGTATAGCTAAGTACAATTTTAATTTTCTATAATTTATGAATGTATTGTAATATATGTTTAATTACATTTTATTATTCTGTGAGCAATACTACACTGGTTATCATAAATTAAGGAAAAATCACAAAAATAGCGGTAACTCCCTCAAAAATAAGACAAACTGTGTAAAATTTGAATATGTTGCCAAGTAAGAGTAGCTCAGTAAAACTGCAATATGCAAATTAGTGGTGCTGCTTTCGGAATGCGTCATCTGCGAGGAGCATAAAAGTCCTTGTTTGAGAACAAGCCCACATATTTAACTGTGACAGTGACATCAGAAATGTGAGATAGCCAATTTGTAACAATGACCTTCAGGCATCATTTGTCTGCAGAATTGCGATGGAGAGCCATTGGGAGACTAGAGGCAGACAAAGTCAAACAGAAATGGTCAGATGGCTAAATGTGAGTCCTGTGGTTCATAGACTTTGGAGGCAATTTCAAACCATGGATTCGTCATCTAGGAGGTTCAGCCAAGGACTGCCAACTGCTACGACGAGCGCTGATGACCGATATTTGACATTATGTGCATGCAGGAATAGAACCATTACTCCGACTCTTCTTAGATCCTCCCTTGCTGCAGCCACCGGAAGGTTCGTGTCAACGTCAACTGTGAGTAGAAGGCTTCACGAAGGTGGTCTGTATGCGAGGCGACCAGCCATTTGTGTGCCGCTCACGTCATGTCATAGGAGGAATCGTTTTCAGTGGGCACAACAACATGTCCACTGGATGCCTGATCAATAGAGGACGGTTCTCTATACGGTTGAATCCAGGTTTAGTCTAGGAAGCGATAGTAGGCGTTATTTGATATGGAGAGAACTTAGAACCCGTTATCATCCATCAAACATCCGTGAAAGCGATGCATACAGAAGGGGCAGTGTCTGTGTTTGGGAGGCATCTCTTTGGTGGATGTACAGACCTCCATGTCTTTTCAAGGGGAACTGTGAATGCTCAGATTTATAGAAATGACATCCTTGATGTTTATGTGCGCCCATATGCCGGGGCAATAGGTGATGCTTTCCTGTTACAGGACGGCAACGCAAGACCACACAGGACTCGCATCATAGATGATTATCTTCAACAGGAAACAATTATGTGCATGGAGTGGCCAGCTCGATCCCCAGACTTGAATCCTATCGAGCACGTTTGGGATGCTTTAGGAAGACGTCTAACTGCTCTCAATCCCTTATTGCGCTTGCAACTGCTCAAACCCTTATTGCGCTTGCAACTGCTTTGCAAGAGCAATGGCTCTCGCTTCCTATGAAACTGATAGACTGCATAATTGAAAGCATCACACATCGCTGTATGTGTTGTATTGCTTCTAGAGGCGATCATATTCCATATTGAAGGTACCTTTTCCCATAGCAAACTGACACCTTCGATTTGTTCATTTTATACATGTGTTAATTTCTATACTACCATATTTGTCTGGTAATTTCTTTTTATGTTATTTGATACCTTACTGTGTGCTGTATATTGTGGGTAAGTTTCATTAAATTATACATGTAACTTTTACAGTAATCGTGATTTTTTGTGATTTTTCCTTAATTTATGATAACCAGTGTACTAATATTTATTTAAGGGCTTGATTTTTATAGCATTCTTTATGTTATCATTTATGATGGATATGAGCTATATTGTTTATAGATTATGTAACTATACATTTCTAGGCATCTTGGTCACCAGTTTCAATATCTTCCACTTCAACATGGATTTCATGAATGGTTTGGGTCTGCTAACTGTCATTTTGGTCCATATAAAAAAAGTCCACCTAATATACCAGTTTTTCAAAACAATGAAATGATTGGAAGGTAACTAAAACCATGTCATGTATGGTTACTATTAAGAAAATTCTCTTTTGTTAAAGTTATATGTAAAATTGATGGCCCTTAAAATATAAAGCTTAAAGAATTCTAAATTATAAGATGAATAATTTAATATTGTGTTTAAGCTTAAAATAAAGGTATGCCGAAATCAAATCAAAAAGCATTGTATAGTATAATAGATGCTGTAATGTTATTATGTATGGCTATGGCTATTTTGATAACATTAAAATGATCCTTTAAAATATCAGTATTATTTAACTTATTTAATATAAATATACTAGAAACATATAAACATCTTATTTTCTCACAATTTCAATTAAAAAATATTATTTATAATAAATATTGCAGTTATGCCAAAGTTCACTTATGTTCATATTCATAATGTTTCTGAAAATTTACTGATACTGTCCACCTAATTTTAATACTCAGAGGACAGTCCTCATCTCAACATTTATAGAAAATTCAAAGATTTCATTGTATTCTTTTTTTTTAAAGTTTATGTTATGTTGTGCTTTGATTTATTTGAGAAAGGAACTCTCAAGTATTTTCTTCTGTTTTCAGAGATGCAATTTTGATTTTATTTTCATCGGGATCTACCCAAACTTTAAGTAACTCACAATATATGTTAGGTGGATTTGTTGCATTTTTTTAACTTCCTGTATTTCATTATGCATTAAAAGCTTGGCTTACTTAGCATAGTTCTTTATTGTCTTTTCTGAGATGCAGTTCTAAGATATTATAAGGTATTTAGTAACGCCTTCTTAGCATGCCTTCGTAATGTAACGCTCGGCATGTATTCGAGAGGTCCATGGTTCAATTCCTGGCGAGGGCACTGCTTATTTTTCATTTTTCCTGCTTTCAAAAAATACCTAATGTCTTTACAAATTTTTGTAATTCCCTCCCCTCCCCCAGTGTGTGTTTGTTTTTGTTTGTGATCCTACTTCTTGGAACCTGTATAATAAATTTGGCAGCAGGTTTTGTTTTTTACATTAAAATTTCAGCTCATCCCATCCCTATTTTCAGTAACAAAAATGGCTAAAGAAAGTTAAGTAAGAAGAATTGATTACCATTCACATTGCTTCTTTCTATTCGCAGCTGTTAGCAGGTTTATGACTGTGCCATATTGTAAGCTAAACCTTCAGTTTCTTTTGGTTAGAGTTTCTCATATTACAAAATGTTGTGTTGGTGTGGAAGTGAAAATGTCTAATGAAGAAGCAAAGAAAACAAATTAACATAACAGAAATGTAATTGGGGAGAAATAAAGTATTAATAATATGGATTTATGTGTTATATAAAATATTATGAGTTGTGAATAATTCATCCTTCTTTTGTGAAATTTTAATATTTTCATTAGCTTCACAGCCTCTCAATCCACATTAGGTTGAGTTTGCAGCACTCTGCTGTAGTATTTTAAATGTACAACCACATTACCTGCAGAAAAAGGTTTTCTAATAAAAGCAATATTGTACTGAAATTTGATCTGTGTATATTTTTATTTAGGATACCCTATATATTGTATCAATATTCTCAAGTGATATCTCATTAGAATTTATTTAATATAAATTATACATATTGTATTGTTTACAAAATCATATTTCTCATGAGTATAAATGATTTCTCTGTATCAACTGCAAAAAGATATTGTACATTTTTTAGATCAAAAACTACTTTATTTTTACGGAATTTGCTATAAATTTAATATATTCATTAAAAAATTTAACTAAATTTAACATGATTCTGTAACTCGTATTTTTCAACCATGAGTGTGGCTCTAAATGAATATTTACCCACATTTTTTCATTCCACATATAATTTATGTAAGTGTGCATAAATAACTACTGAATTTTAGAACAAAGGGAGAATGTTTTTATCTAAATTATTTTATCAGCACCTTTTAATTTTTGTACTTTTGAAATTGTAAAAACTCTGTGTACTGTTCAGTAAAATAGATTACTATTAGCTGGACTCATTAAAATCATTATATATATATTTTATAATTTATATTAACTATTTGAAGCAGCTAGCCACTCTAGCATCTAGTCATAACAAAAATTAATGATATGTTTAGAATTTAAACAATGTCTAAATTTGTATATGTATAATCCCCAACCTCTTGTAAAAAAAAAAATAAACTCAATTCATATACTTTAGTGTGAAATTGCTAATTGCACTGTATTAATTGGGTTTAAATTAAGAAAAATAAAAAAAAATATCACTCACAAATGGTTATGTGTTTTTAATATGTAGTTCAATATGTAGGGGTGTCCCTAAATTTATGGGCCAAACTTTAAGGGTAGGTAAAATACATGTAAAAGCATTTTTTGTGCAGCAGTGTGGATCAGGAATGAAAAGTGTAGGTGGAAAAACAGGAAATGCTAAGAAAATAGAAAAAAGGCTCTTTATCTACATATTTATGTAAAAAGTGCTGAAACATCTGACCATTAACAATGTTAAAGCCCTGGAAGTATCGTCTCAGTTACCAGGGCACAGTGTGGCGGTAGAGGGCAGTGTCATAAACAGTTATGCTGTATTTATTCTTGTATACTACATATAGTGAGTAGTAAAGAGGAATGAAATGCAATGAACCTTTTCTAAAAAAAATTTCCATGGTTTTGATCTATGGTGGTGCTCATCTTGAAGAAGTGTTACTGATATTTATTTGTGTTCTCAAAAATACTGTTCGCTTTCAGTTGTGGTTTTCTGAGAGAAGTTCTGGGTAAAAGATTTTTAGGGCAGACGGTATTACAAGGTTAGTGACATAGCTTTAAAAAAAAAAAAAAAAAATTGGGGGGAGGAAAAGTAATTGAATTTGGGAGTTTAGTTTGCATAATCAAATCATTTGCAAATCAATTTTAATAAGTTCAAATAGCATTAAGCAAGCTTCAAACAGTTTTTTGCTGTTAAAGAATTTTGTGTGTGATGGAGCAACTTACATTCTCTGAGAAAGCAGACATGCATCTTGTTTACAGGGCGGCGAATTGTAACACAATGAGGTGTTAAAGTTGTACCTTGGGTGTTAAAGTTGTACCCTACAGGACAAAGCTGCGTCAAAAAATTTTTCTATGTTTACACTTCGAGCTTTAGGAGAGTGGTTTATTTCATATCAAGAGAACAGATGCCAGTTGCTCGAGATGTATAAGAGTTCCAGAAATGGAAGAACATGTTCTGAGAGAGATTGAAGGTAATCCAAACATTAGCCCAAGATTGATTACTTGAACTACTGGCATGAGTAAAAACACTGTATGAAAAATTTTGCACAAGGAAAGACTTTTTCCATCCCACTTACAGTGAATGTAGCTGATTATCATCGATGTGTAGATTTTTGTTGTTAGTTTTTGCAGCAGAGTACATTCACTCTAAGTTTCTCCACAAATGTACTTTTCACAGATGAGGCCACTTTTATATGAGATGGAGTTTTTAATTTGCATATTTTCCATGTGTGAACCACCTTTAACCCACATGCTTTCCAGGTGCAGTTCTCTGTTAATGTGTCCATGGGATTTTAAATGATTTTCTTATTGGCCCATGCATGGTACCACATCGACTCAATGGCATGACATATTGAATCTTTCTGGAAGAGGTAGTACCAAAATTACTTGATACTGTTCCAGTTGCTGTTTGAAATGCCATGTGGTTTCAGCATTATGCCCAATTCTGCAATAATGAGTGTTAATTATCTCAATGCCACTCTTGGCCCACAATGGATTGGATGAGATGGACCAGTTGCTTGGCCAGCACATTCACCAGATTTATAAAGTATTAATTTTTTCTTATGGGGACACTTCTAGGCACTCGTCTATGAGACTTCAGTTGACTTTGAAGAGATCCTCATTGCAAAACTTTAAGTTGCTGTTGTAACTGTCTGTGAAACACTTTCGAAAAGGTACGCCAGTCACTTGCTAAATGCTACCAAGCCTGTATCGATGTTATTGGTGGTACATTTGAGCACTTACTGTAATGTTATGTAAATAAAGACTTTTTGTATTTCCACTGCATTTCTTGTTTTTCCATTTACACTTTTTATTTCTGACCTCACATTGCTATACAAAAAATGCTTTCTCTATGTGTATTTTACCTACACTTAAAATTTAGCCCATGAATTCAGGGACACCCCATATAGTGAGTAGTGAAGAGGAATGAAATACAGTGAACCTTTTTTAAAACATTTTTCCATAATTTTGATCTATTGTGGTGCTCTTCTTGAAGAGGTGTTACTGATATTTATTTGTGTTCTCAAAAATACTGTTTCCTTTTATTTATGGTCTTCTGAGAGAAGTTTTCAGTGTGAAAGGATTCACTGTATTGTATAGTTTTATAATATAATGATACAGTCAAAAGTCGTTAATTTGGACACCCATAATCCGGAATGATCTATAATCCGGCCCTCAAAGCTACAACCTTTCTGCGCATGCATCGCGTTGACGCATGCGCGTAAGACCTTTACCGCTGTGAATTTGCGCGTGCGAAAAATACGTTTACGAATGCGCGTTTAATGTATAACGGACGGGATAAGCTAAGCTAAAATTATCTAATTATCTATTTCAGTTATGTTGCAGATTGCGTTGTTCCTTAATCTTCGAATTGGATCCGGCTTATTATTTTTTGCAGACTGTTAGAGCAATTTTATAAAAGTAAGCTTGAACTTTGGATTATGTCAAATAGAATTTTCGATATATATTTACTAATATGTAAAGGATATCCGAAAGTATCTTTCGGAGTCCATTACACAAAAAGTGGAATTGCTGCAAAAAATGGATAAAGGCATATATTTTGTTTATCTAAACTTTAACGCTGTTTATCTAAACTTTAACGTTTGTTTATCTTTAACACGGCGTGCAATGAATTCACTATCCTTATCTTTAAGGGCAGATGTTTTTATTTTATTTGGCTTATAATTGCTTACTCTATGTAGTATTTCATCTCGATGTACTCCATCTTTGATATGATTTAAATCAAATGCCTCGTCATTATAATTCGCTTCCGAT